AAGATCGGCAGACCCGCATTCCATCAGGGTTAGAACCATATGGGGATACTGATTTGATTCAACCAGGAGAATTGTTTTCAGCCAAAATAGTTTCTCGGAAAAGAGATTTGCATGGTGTGTGTAATGATCAGGATGGTGAAGATGATTATCAGCCTGAACTGAAAGGTGATGCTAGGTTTGGTAAAATTCCTGAAGTTTCAGGTAGAAAAAAGTTGAAGAGGGCTGGGGCTTTTGATTCCTTTGAGAGTTTGGGGACATCAAAACCAGTTCTTAGAACTGTTGAAAAATCTTATAATAGCAATGCAGTACATTGCATAAAGGCATTTTCGAGTCTTGAGGTGACTTTTTGTGATAAGAAAGCTAGGCCCATAGTTTGTGGAGAATATGGTGAAATATGCAGCAGAAAGTTTGCTGCAGATGAATTGAGGCCTGCAAAAATTGTTCCTCTTAGTAGGGTTCTTAAAAACACAGAACATTGTACCCTCCAGAAGAGCTGTAAACCCAAAAGTACTCTGAGGAAGTCAAAGAAGAAAAGAAGAGCTAGGAGCACTTTATACTTTGATTTGAAGAAAGCAGAAGAAAATGGAGGCAATCAAGTTTCAGTCTCTCATGAAGTGAGTGGCTGTTATGTTGAAGAAGGCAAGAAGACTTGTGTGAGTGGAATTAAACAATTTGATAACAATTCATTCATCTTGGAGAAAGGGAAGGATGACAGAAGTGAGAAATATTGTTGTATTCCAGATGGTATTGCTTATAATCGATCAAACATAAAATGTAAGGAAATACGCAAACGAAGCCTTTATGAGCTGACAGGAAAAGGTAAATTTCACCAATGTTTTCGTACTAGTTGCATTCCAATAATATAAATTAATCCTTAAATTTTGATAGGAAGGGTATCATTGGTGCTATTAAGGGTTGAGTCAAATGTGTCTTGTGGATGTGGCCTTCAATAGTTTTACATTTTAATGCCTGGCATTACGAGGAAAGCAAAAGCTTTCGGCTAGACCTAATACATTGAATTTTGGGCTGTATGCACATAACACAGCTTCTAGAATACACTTATAGTTGTTCAACCTATTGTGGTGGTTTGCAATTGTATTTTTTACTTTTATCTGTATAGTTCAACTTAGATGCAATTTGTAACAAACTTATTTGTATAGGTTTCATGAAATATCAAATACCTTGATCCATCCCATCCTCTCTTTGGTTTCCTTACCTTGTCTCCTTTCTTCATTGTGGTTATCATTTCCATTTCTACTGGCTTTATAAAGAAATTTGAGTAATCTTTCCTACTCTTGTTGTACTTGACACCATAATAGGTGTTGTTTCCTATTGCTAACGGTTGACGTTTATTGAAACCCCTAAAAATTTTGAAAATCTAGCTGAAGAAGCTGAGTACATAATCTGTTCTGTTTATGTGTCTCACGTGATGAAGTGATGAGGTATTCCCTCCACTAGTAAAGTGGGTATATATGGACCATGATATGTCTAATGTTACATTTGGTGTGCTTAGTAATCTTTGGATGTGCTGCAAGTGGTAAACTTTCTTAAGGATTGGATAAAAAAGAAGCAGTTTAGAATTCTCTGTTTAACATCAAAGGGGCTACTTTTGAATGTGCTGCAAGTGATGAATTTTGGATGTTGTGAACATGTGCATGGCAAACATTTTTATTTGTGACGTTTGATCTTGTTGAGGGTTTACATCATCGATTTCCTTCTTCAATTGTCAGGAAAAGAGTCTGGTTCTGACAGTCATCCCCTTATGGAGATCTCAAAGTGCTTGCCTAAGATGAAAGTGAGGAAAAGTTTAGAGGAAACTGGTGATGTTGAAAGTCATGGACATAGATCATCCAACATGAATGCTGAAAAGTAAGCAAGTGAATTTTTTTTCTGTTTACAGGGAGAGTTTCACCTTTATTTGATAGATGCTTTCAGAGCTTAAAAAATGATGATAGTTTTGATTATGTCTAATTGTTATGGAATTATAAATTATGTTACAGATCTATCATGCAGACTAGGTGCTCATCCATTGTTGATTCAGATGTATTCTGCTGTGTTTGTGGAAGCTCAAACAAAGATGAATTTAATTGCTTATTGGAGTGTAGTCGATGTTCAATCAGAGTGTGTACTCATTTCAAGTTTGTGCCTAATTTGTTAAATTATCATTATCTAATTCTGTTTTCATGATACAGGTTCATCAAGCTTGCTATGGCATTTTGAAAGTACCAAGGGGCCACTGGTATTGCAGACCATGCAGAACAAGTTCTAAAGATACTGTAAGATGTAGATTTTAACCCTTGAATAGTTGCTGCTTTTTCTTTTTATTTGAGTTTTAATGTCTTTCTTGCATTCTTTTCATCTCATTTTTTATCATCATTTAGGTGTGTGTTCTCTGTGGATATGGTGGGGGTGCCATGACTCGAGCGTTGCGAAGCCGTGCTTTTGTAAAAGGCCTCCTGAAAGCTTGGAATATTGAAGCAGAGTGTAGGCCTAAAAGCACAAATTATTCTGCTGAAACTGTGCTGGATGATCAGAGCCTGGTTGTCAGTAATTCATTTTGTAACTTGCAATTTAAAGATCTTGAGCTGTCAAGAACTGCTTCGTGGAAAATGGATGTGCAAAACCAAGTGGATATTATTCGGAACTCTTCTTGCCCTGATAGCAAGTTAAATTTGTATAATAGTGTAACAGCAGGAGTACTTGATTCTACTGTGAAACAGTGGGTTCATATGGTATGTGGGCTCTGGACTCCTGGAACACGTTGCCCAAATGTTGACACCATGAGTGCTTTTGATGTATCTGGTGTTTCACACAAAAGAGAAAATGTGGTAAGTTTATGATATTTGAGGCAAATATAGAATACCCTAAACAGCATTGCCTGTACTTGCACATTGATATATATTTGGTCATGCATGTCCCATGGAAGTTTTTTGTCATGTTTTATAAATGTGTTATGCTACTGATACTAAAACAAGAACTTTAAACAGATTTTATTTGTGTCACCTTTTTGTATATTATTTGCTGATTTCACTGAGGTGGTTTGAGTGTATTTTTGGATTAACTTCTCCTGGAAGTGACCATCAAGTTTATTTCTCCCAGGTTTGCTCTATATGTAATCGACCAGGTGGCTCATGTATACAGTGCAGGGTTGTGGATTGTTCAGTTCGGTTTCACCCTTGGTGTGCTCACCAGAAGGTTTCTACTCAAGAACCTGAAACGTTAATTGCATTACTATGTTATTATATGCATAATCGCTTATTATTTTAGGTATTACTTCTGCAGTTGCTGAAGCAATCAATTCTTTCCCTTTCTATATTGTAGGCAGTGAGCTAGATGTTCATCACAATTCAATTATCTGTCTGCTCACTAATTCATGAGAAATACTTTGGCTTATACTGGTTAATTGCAATGTAACTCAATATGTTTACATATTTAATTGCTTTAACACTTATTTCTACGTTGTGCTTAAAACTGAAGTAGCATGCAATTGTGTTTTTTGCTGCTGCCATTTTTATATTAATAGCATGGATGCTAAGGTACATTATCTGACCCCCTTGCTGTATGCTGCTCATGACCTTAAATTTTCAAAATGTCTTTAGCATTATATTTTGGTTATGCTAATAACACCTCTCATAGGGCTTTTCTTGAACCTGTTATTGCTTCTATATGTTTTCCCAATTAAACATGGAAGGGAAGATTGCTATTCCCAATTTGGTTTGTTGATTGTCCCTAGGGGTGTGTGGCATTCCTGATTCACTTTGTTATATTGCTTGCAGGGTCTATTACAAAGTGAGGTTGAAGGCCTTGATAATGAAAATGTTGGATTCTATGGAAGATGCATGCTTCATGCCTCACACCGCACATGTGAATCTGGTAGTGAGCCCACTGATGCTGAATGGAGTTCTTCTAGAAAAAGGGAATCAACCTGTGCTCGAACAGAGGTAATTTATCCTTTTTTAAAGTGTGGGCAGGAGGGTGGGGTGGGTTTCTAGGGTTATCATATCACTGTGGCACTCATATTGTGATATGTTGCTACCTGTTTTAGGGTTTCAAAGGCCGCAAACAAGATGGCTTTTGGCACAACATCTATGGTCAATCAAAAAGAAAGACTGGATGCTTTGTTCCTCAAGAGCAGTTAAATGCTTGGATTCACATTAATGGGCAGAAGTCATGCATGCAGGGGCTTCCAAAGCTGCCAACATCAGATATCGAATATGATTGCCGGGTACATTAAAGTTGCTTTTATTCCTAGTACTTTTTGCCTACATGCAAGCATTCTAACTATAGAACTTCTTTTGATAATTATACCATAATTAGTCCTTGTAAGCCTAACTGTTCTGCTTTCCACATTACATGCAGAAAGAATATGCTCGCTACAAGCAAGCAAAGGGTTGGAAGCATTTGGTAGTTTACAAGTCTGGCATACATGCACTTGGTCTTTACACATCTCGATTCATTTCCCGTGGTGAAATGGTTTGGCCTTCTTGACCTTAAGACAACCACATTTTCTTTATAATTGGAAAATATGACATAGGTCATGGTTTTTCTAGGTTGTTGAGTATGTTGGTGAGATTGTGGGGCTACGTGTGGCTGACAAAAGAGAAAATGAGTATGAGTCTGGCAGAAAAGTCCAGTACAAAAGTGCATGCTACTTCTTCAGGATAGATAAAGAGCATATCATTGATGCAACCCGCAAAGGGGGGATTGCCCGTTTTGTCAACCATTCATGTCTGGTAATTACTTAAATTTGTTTAATGTTATTTTCTTGTAAGAAGTGGTAGGAAACATGGCCAGGGGTACGGGGCTGACCTTGGGGGTGCAACGTGGCACCTTTTTCCCAGGTCTCAATGTGGATCAATTTCGGATAACCTTAGGGTGAAGTTTGCCAAGACCCCTTCAATTAGTCATCAAACTTTACCTCACCTCCAAGGCTCCAAGCATGGTATAGTTTTAATGGATCATCCGACTATACTTGAAATCCATTTGGATGATAAGTTAAAATGTACTAAATTAACATGATCATGTGTCTACCTAGGAAATTGGTGGGAAACTGTAATGGAAGGGGTCAAAATCTATTTAGAAACAAACTATTAGAGTTTAACAAGTCATTAGCAATATTTTACATTATTGTTTTTTCTTTTTTGGCCACCCCAATGGCACTTGGGCTTCCAGCATATTTCTCAAGTTTTTCTCTTTCTACCATCATTCAGCCTTATCCAGGTTTCTCACTGCATGCTCAATTTCTTTGACAGCCAAATTGTGTTGCCAAAGTGATTTCTGTGAGGAATGAAAAGAAGGTAATCCCTAATTTAATTATGATCCTTAGTATATGCTAATGAGATTCAAAACTACTTCTTTTTCATATACGGTTTGCAGAAGAGAGTATTTTTAATTCATTCTATCATTTAGTTTGCAATTTTCTTAGTAGTGCCAAGCTGCTTTACTAGCGTGGTATGTTTGGAAAATATGGTTGATCCGAAAACCACGATACAAGGATCCTACAATATTTACCATTTTACCATTTCCCGAAAATAAGGATTTTGTTTTACCATTAATTTTGCATAATAATTATGTTTATGAGGCCAGCAGCCCACAAAATTACCGCAATGAATGTTATGTTGCTTGCATCTATGACCTTCGATGGCACTTAGAGTTCAAAAGTTTTAGGTACCTAGAACTTATAAGACTGGGAATTGGAATGGCGTTGGCTTAGTTATTGGTTTGTTGGGTGCAGGTTGTCTTTTTTGCAGAGAGAGACATATATCCAGGTGAGGAGATAACATATGACTACCATTTTAACCATGAGGATGAAGGGAAGAAAATTCCTTGCTTTTGTAATTCAAAGAATTGTAGGCGTTACCTCAACTGATTGTACATAAAAAATATTATTTCTTTTTGCTGTATTGCTGTCAATCCCAATGGGTTGTCAAATTTTGCCCTCTTTGCTTTGCCAATTAATATCAACTGGTATTAGCCTGCACGTTTTTGTTGGTGTAAAGTTTGGTTTCTTTGCATACGGCCTGTACTGGGAAACCGGAAGCGGACGACGAGAACGGGAACGGGAAGGGCAAAGTCCAAGCTAAGGATACATATCTTTGGTTCCAACGTATAACATTTCCAAGGACATGAGAAATCTTGATCAATCATTTATGAGATAAAACGCCTGAAATCAACATGTTTTAAGAAGTGACAACGCCGGTTCTTAATAAAAACAAACGTTACAAGCAGTAATATACTTTGGTTGATTTGTGAAGCAACATGCATTTTGGGATCATATTGACCACCTGTATATATAATCTGGTTTTCTCCCGTCGCTCATCGTCAGTCATCAGGGTATTTCCAAATTTAACTAGCAGAATAAACAAGAACTACAACCAAACCCCACACCTCTCCTCCCCAAGGCCAATATGCAGCAGTGTCAGTGCGTATGAAGCTTCTATGCTGACAACTGAGTGAAGCTTTTTGCATACGGCATCTTGCAGCCTGACTTTTCTTCTATGAACCCCAGTTCGGAATGTTTGAGGTGGCTTCGTTTACCATTTTCACCAGTGTCACCTGCCACAATGTCTATGATTAGAACATTCCACTGAATAGGAGAGGAGTTAACACTCCCAACCGTGATTTTACTCCCGAGAAATATAGTTTCAAAATCATAAAGATGTTCTCTTTTTGCTTTGCATGTGTGCTCAAGAAGGATAGGTGTTGTTAAACGTACCACACTTTGTGGAACACCAGGAGGAGGAAGGGGAAGGTTTCTCGGCGGTGCTACAGTATCAAAAGATCTTTTATCAAACCTCCATTCTCCAATCTTTCCATAGGTTAACCTACCCTGAAAATTGGGGCAGAAATTCTCCCACTATAAGCAAAAGAGAAGACATCTTTTTCTTTCAACTCAGAAACAGATATGTTGGTAATAAATGAAAAAGTAAGAACTCAAAAGTGATTTCATTCAACTAAACGTTTGACATTTCAGCACAATTGATTACCTTCAAATCATAGTCGCACCCATATGTGTAATGAATAATGAACTTGTTACCGATTTCTGTATCCCAAGGAGGCTGATAAATGTCATAAAACAGGCAACTGCTATTAAGGAGAATTCAGGAAAAAATTGGCACATAGAAAATTCACATCAATTTTAAAATCTAAAACATAATTTATACTTTTTGGGGGAGGCAGGTTGGAGAGAGAGAGAAGATTCTTTGGCCTTTCTCAAACTAGTCAAAATTCAAGGATATTATAAAGAAGCGTGTGAAGAAGGAGAAAAGTCGCTGTTGACTAACTATTAAGTTACCAAATTATAATTAAACAACATAGACAAGTTGCATAAGTGCAATATGTTTTGCTAAGAATGCTTATTCTAGCATTCAACTCAGCTTGCTCTTAGAAGCAAATCATAGGTGGGTCCTAAACTAAAAAGCTCATCCCCAGAGTTTAGGCCGGTGCAGACAGTAGCAAATGGTTGAAAATGCTAGCTACAGTTATCAGGAAGATACAGCTGGCATCTTGTACTGTGTGAATAAAATGTTATGGGAAAGAATAAGGGCAATCTCATCAAACCTGAATCATGAAATCTTTGTATAAGATGTTACCAACACCATGCAAGGCAGAGGAAACAGCATAAGCGTACCTACAATTATGAAACAAGACAATAATGCCATGGCCAACACCACATGCAATGTTGTAAAAGAATAGAGTAAATTGGTTAACACTCACATTTCAAGCACCCAACCGAAAGCTTTATCGGTTTCAGGATCTTTCTTCATCGCCAATGAAACATTCATCCAAGTTGGAGCAATCTTTTTAAGAGATTCCTATATAATGTTCATCGAAAGTTCAAGAGAAGGCAAAACAAAAAAGAGATTGCCATTATAGTAACTAGGCAACACCAAAATGCATACCTTCCCAACAATGACAGGAGAATTTCCTACGGGGTCAATGTTGGTTATTGGACCCTTTTCTGCAGGGAAGTACTTTCTGAGAACTGATTCATACTTTTTGGGATCTATATAAAAGAAAGGAAATGCAGCTCCAAGCCCATCTTTTGATAAGTTCGGAATAGGCTTGACAATAATATGGTCTGGTTCCGACATCAGTATGTAACTGGATACATGGTAAGAATGGGATATATAAATCAACCAAATACGGAAACGAATTGATTCAAGACAGAAACACGGAAACGAGGAATTTCATACTCTTCTTTTATGTCCGCTTTTTCAAGCCACTGTACAAATGCCCAAGGTCTGTTGAGGACTATATAACCCTGTGATTATGGACATAAAAGGACAGAATGAAGTAAAAAGAAATATGAGAACCATCAACTTTAAAACTTTAAGCTGAAAATACAATTTATATCAAGAAAGTAGCTTCTTTTCCATAGTTCTGAATTGATGCTAAACCGGCAGAGCAGATACTACTTGTAAATTCATTCAATTACGAGTAACCTGACCCAATTTACTAAAATTTCGATGTCCTTTTAGGGAAACTACAAATCGAAAACAATCTATGAATTGATTAATACCAGAACTTATTCTCGTCTAACCAAAGCAGTTTCCTTAATTCTGCCTGATTGAAAGATGAACTAAGCTCCCCAACCCACCAACGAAAAACAAAAGTTAAAAGGGAATACCTGATCCATTCCGGCTGGTAAAGGCTGAGCAATGAAAGTGGGAATCTCATCCATATACTTGTCGGGTTTACCAGAGTGCAAGATCCTAGTAAACCCACCCATATCTGAATTTGGTCCATTCTTAAGCTTCTTGAACCAGTAGTACATAACCCGACACTGCCAAGTGTTGTAAACCGAGTCTGAAGCTGTCACAGCCGTATGAAACAACCTCTTCTTTGCAGTTGACCCATACCTTCTTGATCTTTCTACTGGCATCTTGATTATGGGGTCAACAATTGATGTTCTTGAAGGTCCCGGAAGCTCTTGCTTTAGAGGAGCATTGGCCGAGATGAGGATGTTGTAGGTGATTAGAGCTACTGAAAAAGTTATGATTAAGGTGTAGAAGACATTCCCACAGCCCATTTTCCCACTCTATGCTCAAGGCTTAGGAGCTCTTCCTGTTTTCTCTCTTTCCAACTATGGAACTCGGTTAGGGGCAGTCTTGGTAAGCGGTGGAGCCGCTGAACGGGACAGGTTGGAAGCCGCCGAGAGCGGTGGCAATTTTTGGAGAAGGTGACGTGACAGGCTGTCGATGGAAGTGAATGAAAGAAAGTCGTCGGTGTCGAATATCGATACACGCCAGAGTAGTTGAAGAAATGTTCTACCTTCTCTTGTACATTTAAGCTCACGTTGCTTCTGATTTTTAAATCCTTTTTTTAAATATTTTTGTTTACTGAGTATTTGTTAGTAGTAATATTTAATTGTACTGTTTTAATCATTTGTCTTGTCTTTCTTAGTCGCTTTTAACCATTTTATCATGTATTTAGGGAGAAAATTAAATTTTTTTTGGTCGTTAAATGTTTATTTTTCTTAAACACTTACATAAATTAAGATAAAAATTTTAACCTAATACAATTTTTTATAAATATAGATATTTAATATTTTTAATATAAAAAACATAACAATATGACATGTCTAAAAAGAATATTTTCAAAATATATCCAAAAAATGGACAAAAAAAAAAGAAGAAGATGGGCCAGGATTGTTGAGATTATGATTACAACGAAGTGAAATGGCCCAGCTGTAATTAAAACATGCGTCCTAACTAGTAGCAATGGAGGACAACTTTAGTTAATGAACTTTAAAACATCACCTTCAATGCTATGGCCACTGATGCATTCGATCGTGCATGGTGTTGGCTCAGCGTGTTTTGTTTTTATTAGCCATTTGCAGCGTCTGGCTTTGCCACAAGAATCATTTCACATGCCAACCCTAGGACATACAAAGCCAAATTCCCATCCACCAAACCACGGAGTAATCACAGATACATCATCGGTCTATAATTTCTATTTAGAAAGTGACAGATATTGAATTTAATGTTAATGAATAAAATTTATACATCGACAGTATATCAAATATAAACCTAATACATAACAATTTATACACTGATGATCTGTTACATATAAACCCAACACTGTGTTTTATTTTTCGTCATATGACCTAATCCGAGCACATATGCAATGAAAAAAGTTTATACATTGACAATCCATCAAATATAAACTCAACGCTAAATTACACTTTATGTTTTGTTTCCCGTCATCGTCCGACCTACTCCGGGCAATGTATGTTATCACACATTGATTTCTAGTAAATTGTAAACAGTAAATTAGGCCAGAGATGGAAAGGGGTTGACTATGCCCATGATCATAACCCCCCTATCTCTTTGCCCGTTCATATTTTTCCGTCAATTTTAAGCAGATGTGTGTAACTGACCACTGAGAAGCTAACTAAAGAGGAAGGGTAAGCTTGGCGTGAGGGTTGATCATGAACTCATCATTCAATAACCAATGCTGTCTTGAGAGGAAAGAAGATAGAATTATGCATTCCTCTGCTGTGCTTTTCGTGTGGCCCTCATTTGTTGTGCCATCAAAGGCGCATGGAGTCAGGGTCAAGATCCCTGCACACGCAATTCAACAATACCTGAGAATTACTAGGAGAAAAAAAAGGGAAAGGGGAGAAAAAAGTTCCATAACTAAATTCCTCAAATCATGAATCCTGTTAAACACATAATTCCAAAGAACAGAGCCAATAACATACAAAATTCATTCAGAGTTAACCAGGTTACATTAACTGATTGGAGGTACTTCAATCGAATTACCGTTGATACCATATAAACTACACAGAATGACCCATATTAATAAGGTTATTACCCAGATTGGCTTTAATGAACCGGCGGATATCCGTTTTAAGGGAAAAATTACCAGGATAACATATTACCTCCAAAGAAAGCAAGTCCTAACAAGGTCAACTTTGATTTCCATTTGAGTTATCTCTCAACTGCATTTCTTATGCGAGGGAATCGATTCACCCATCGAGAATATCCTGCATCAGGATCAAAAGGCAGCATGTCATAAAGCCAGTTCAGAAAAGATCTTAAAGTAATTACAGTGTTAACAATTAAAAATTGAGATCTCCATACCGTTGACAATTAAAAATTGGGATCTCTGTATGTCAACAAAAATGCTATAGCTACTTAAATATGGAAACAATCAGAAGAAACAAACCTGCAGTAACAATCTCTAAAAGATCCATCTCTCCTTTAGCAACATCAGACATATCCTACAACAAAGAGACATCCAAGTGTTAGTCCTACAACTTATGAAACAAACAAACTAGCAAATAATATGCATATACACACATAGCATCAGCATTTACCTGCCCCCATGAATCCAAACTTCTTGCAATGAGCCGTGACAGACTATTAAGACAGCTGCTACTAAAATCAGGATAATTCAAAAGAGCATCTTCGGATGTAAAATCAAATACCAGCGTGCAAATACTTGAAGCCATCATAACAACAGATAGGTCATTAGTGTCCTCTGCAACCAAATTCAGGAAACCTTTACGATGTATACATGCTTAGACTAATCATTTGAACACAGAGGGAAAGTTCGAGCACAAGTTAAATGAAATAACATTGAATGATATTCCATGAAAATTCTACACTGAAATGTAAAGATAAGATAGCGTGATTGCATGAATGTTACTCCACAAATGGCACACTCTGTAATCTAATCTTATCAGTTAGTGCTTTTCCTAGTAGTTCCAATGAGATAACATTTTGTCTAGAATCAATGCAACCTGCTTTTGTAACTCTAAAACATTTAATCATGCAACATAAACAATTCAAATGAATTTTGGCTCCAAGTAATGACTGAAACAGTACCTGTCCAAATTGCCAATGCTTTCAAAAGATTATAAAACGTTGATTCATCCTCTGGAAACTGAAATTGCTCTCTCTGTTGATAAAAAAATAGGAGTTACTACATTACACAAATAACTAGTACTTTACAACAATATGATAAAAATCACCACCTTTAAAAGAAAATTCATGACTGTATCACAAGCCAAGAAAATGCAACCATTATCCTCTACACCATGTCTGTTTTGCCCAATTAACTTTACGAGGCAGTCCACAACCTGCAATGACACCAATATTTTCACATAACAATAAAAGGCTATAGCTCTAGTACAACAAATTACACTAGGGTATGACAACATATTAGTGCACATAGAAACCTTCGTGCATTATGTATGCCTAGCAACTATGAAGCACATATGGAACACAGGCATCGACTTATGTACATATAAACAAGCATTTGTTTATTGGATTGATAACAGCTTATTATTAAATAGAATATCATATAATAGGAATATAGTACATATAGAATCACAATTCATTTGAAATGTCACTTTCATAGCATCTATTAAAAGGTTCTCGACAAACGTACAAAGAGATGCACATATTTTATTGAATATTTAGATGTGCACGTGTATCGGAAGAATAGGCTTGATATATTTACCAAGACACCATAGAGTTGCATTGGTATTAAAAGTTGACAAGCCAGCCGCTTTCGATTAAGTTATACTTACAGCTTTATACCCTCCAGAAGAAGCCAAAAGTTTGCATCCTTCAATCTTCATTGTCATTTGACACAACATTGGAAGCAGAAAGCATACAGAGTAAAAAGGGCTGTAATAGAGTTAATTAACAAAAATATTTGGCAAAGTTAGTCTCGAACTACAATAACCAAAACAAAAGATATAGGTATCAGTTCATCAAAGAACTACAAAGTTAACTTGCCATACCTTGATTCATCTTCACCTTCAACTGAAAGCATATAGCCTAACAGTTCCCTGATTTTCTCTTCGCATGCAATGGGTGTTTCTGCAAGATAGCTGAAACAAACACAAATATCAGCTCACTGAAAAATTCACACTTGGTGGACAAGTTCAACACCCACTGCTTGATACTGTTCACAAAAACCTGCATATATCCTAAAAAATGGCATTAAATACTTAATGAGAAGGCATCAAACATACCTCCCCACAAGACGTACTGAAGCAAGAAGATCATTTCCTCTCTTTTGCCCATGTTCCTGCAGAATTATGACCGTGAATAAAAAAGGTGAAGAATAAATATTGATTACGATATTTCTAACCATACCTTTGCATCTTGTAGATACTCTAGAACCACACCAATAGTCTCATTAAGGCCCTTGATCACCTTTGTGAAAGTACTTTCATTAATAACGTGCCCTGAAATTGATTTTCCTGATGATTATTATATTTCTTAAATAAACTGGATTCAAAATGCATACTGAAAACTAAAGTGTTCCCTTGCATAAATTGAACAAAAAACCAAATATAAATATAGTCATAAATTATCTAGATCATGTTTGCTTCAGAAGGTAGAAAAAACAAAACAGGATCAATAAGCAATTTAGCACAGGTTAGTAAATCTAGCAATTATGAATGTACCTTCACTTTCATCAATGCTTGATATCAATTTTATTATCTTCTCCAACAAGGAAAAGACTATTGTCACTTTCTGTTGCTTCAAAATAATAGTTTCAGCTGTTGAAGAAGAAGAAGTCCCAGAAGCTTCATATTTTGCATAGGCTAGCTCATTCAGCAAAACAGCAACTTCAACCCTTGATGACTCTAAGACAAGCAATAGACACCTGAAAAGATAACTCTAAAAATAATGAATCATGTAACCCAGTCAATGAAAGTAGCCTAAGCAGAATCACAAAAATTCAACAAGCATCACTTACCTGTCCGCTGGAATAGGGTCATGTACATTAGGCAAGTTTATCTGGCCAATGAGCCAACCCTCACCCATTATAGATACCATGGCTTCAGCCACAATAAGGGCCTCAAATTTTTCGGCAGGTGCTATGAGTTCGAAAATCAAAAACATAAACGTCATTTAGCTTCAATATTAAAACTGAAAGTTTGGTACTCTGAAAGATGGGAGCTTACAAAGACGAGCACATCATGCAATTCAAATACTGATTCTTATATGAATTGGATGAACTGTAAGTAAGATTAAACAAATTCAGTTCAACATACCTACACGGTTCTGTAAAATTGCTGCAACACCATCACGTATATGGTTTGACCAGTTCTCATTTGGCATTTCATTGAAAGCATCATGAAGTAATGTCTAAAAGTATAAAGTGAAAATCTCATCAGTTCAAAGTTAGTCTAGTATGCAGCATAAAGCCTTCATGTCAAGGCGCATGAATATCAAGATTGAAGATTGATCCTGGTGACTTCAAGAATTAGAAGAAACAAGGGAAACGAACATAGCATGTGAAGGATTAAAGAATTCAATGAAGGTGCATTTCCAGATGCAAGAAAGATATTCATCGTTCAGATTATAAGAAGTGTCCAACATTAAAAGTACTGAGAATATTTCTTAAGCACCAGTTTAGGATTTAGAAATAATTTCTAAATGTTTCAAAACAAAATCCAATACTGATAATATCAAAGTGAGTTTCTACCTCAGCCATAAATTAATTGATAATGTGCCCACTGCTTTAGTGAAACTGACTGATATAATTTTGGAAGATGTTAACAATTAAGATGATTAATAAGAATTAACCAACCAAAGCAAATAACTTTCTAGAAAGACAGCAATCTTGTGGGAAAAAGGCATACCGTATATTCTGAAGAGAAGATAGCAGACACTAAGTGAAGTGCTTCAAACTTCATGGCATTTTGTAGGAGAGCAAATTGTCTTGCTATTATGGCCACCTAAATTAAAAGGGAAATTATGAGATTTATTGAAATTTAATCTTTATGAATTAAAACTTGAGAAACAGAAATTTAATGGCTACAGAAGATCTAGACTTACAATGATTGACAACTCTGAGAGATGGTCATTCTTAGTGATGCCTAGAGACGGCTTCCTTAGCATCAATTGCACAAGCTTCATGGCAAGTTCCATCAAATGAGACCCTGCAACAAGTTCACAAACTATCACTTCCCTGCATACACAGCATAGCTCGACTAGCAAATCCATAACCACCACATAGCTAAATATCTTTTGTCCTTAAAGAGTTAGTCACACATAGACACAATAAAAAACAACAAATTCTATCCGAACCTAAAAGCTTACTACTTTGCATAATTTAGACTGCATAATATAAGGATCCTGCATGTGTCGAAATCTAGAAATCCTATAAGATTAGCTACCATCTGGCAGAGTGGACATTTGACAAGCGAGTAACTTCATCCCTCCAGACTCATACAGTGCCGTAACTCCATCCTCGGAAGCGGCTGACACCAAGTATAAAAACTCATAGCATTCTTCCAGCACATTCGAGCCTGCTCTGCATTCAACAAAAAGAAAAGGAGTAGGGTGACCAAGAATACAGCAATGGATTGGTTCTGTTCTGAAATATAAAAAAGTAACTAACTAGAAGGAACAAATCGAAAATCAAAAGTTAAACCCACGCTTGTCTCTAAATATATCAATTTGAATTGAAAAGAAGTAAGTATAAAAGGCTTACCCCTTTGACATTACTTCAACAATCACCGGAATCTTCGAAACCATTTCTTCCGAAGAAGCAATGTCTGTAACCCGACAGAATGCAGAAAGAACCGTAACTGACAGCTGCAAGTACGCCTCCCGGTTTTCACCGCTGCCGCTACTCACCACACCTTTACCCAACCCTTACACCCCCCCAAAAAAATAAGTTCTTCCGATTGAAAAAAAAAATTGTAAATTAAGTATAAATTAGAATCGCAACGTAAGACGAACACAAATACCGGTCTTTAAGAGGCGGTCCAAAAAGCGAGGTCCAACGGCGTCGTAGATAGTCCTAAGCGAAGCGAGGTCCTCGCCTTTACAGAATTTGGTCACGAGAAGCAGGCCAGCGAGTCGTTGCTCATCTCTCTCGCCCTTTAGTAGCTTCAAGCAATCCTGGAGAGATACTGACTGCTCCGGCTGCTGCGACTCTGGTTCCTGTCACAAGCAAAAGAAAGATAAAACAGATTGATACAGAGGGTTCAGAGAATCACCATTAGAGAAAACAATAGTTACAGGGAAGCTTACCATGGACGCTGACCGATTGACAACGGAGATTCAGACTTAGTTACGGATTCAGAGGTGTGTCCAGAGGCGTCTAATTTTCCCGGTTGCACTTTATGAAATTTCACATTGAGTTGGGCCGGGTTTGAAGCTCAAAGATAAATACGGCCATTGTCTCTAAGGGATCCAAATGACTGAATCCAGTTTCCATTTTTAGAATTGAACTAAAATATGAGAGAATCTCATGTGGAAAGAGGCCCTTTGCCTTGTTCCTCCATTTTGGACCTCGATTATGTTAGGGCCGATCCTACCGACTTAGGCCTTTCAGACCTCCAAAGCAGATCAGCACACCATCATCTTATTTTCCTTTGAGGAAGCAAACCTTTAACTTTAAATGATCACACGTTGTTACATGTGAATGAAATTCTTCGATTTCAACTTTAGATTAGTTAAGAGAATTGATTTTTTCAGTTTATTCGATTAGTTTTTATATTTAAAATTTACCATCAAACCAACCGATCAAATAAATTATTAATAATATATTTCTAAAATATTGTTTTTAATATTTTTTAATAATAATATTTTGTAGGTTGAATTTATCAGTAATTAGAATGTAAAGATCGATATTTTTTAATAATAATTAGAATATACCTATGCAATGCACTGATGTCACATAGGTAAAATAATGTTTATTTAAATATATCTAATGCTCACTTCACATAAGAAATTATAATCATGAAGTTATTTATCAACTACAATGTGTATAGAAAATATCAAAAGTTGCATAATTGTTTAAGTGATAATCTAGAGTTACGAATGTAGATTGCAATATACAATTTAGTAATAGATAAAATACATGATAAGTGACTAATATTTTAATCACTTTAACATTTGGTCCCTCTGAGCTTCTTTCTAAATAATGATAATAAGCCTTTCATCCTTTATAAAACTTTGAAAGAATAATAGAAAATAAATAAACTTAATCTCACATATTATTGTCTACAATAGAGAATTATAACCACATATTTAATCAAATGAGATAAAAAGAAAATTTAAAAACTTACCTAAAGAGTTTTTAATTTCTATATGAAAGAAATAACATTATAAAAATAAAAATATAATAAAAAATCGAAATAATAAAACTTAAATAAACAAATCAAATAAGATAAAAAGAAAGCAAATTAGAAACTTACATATCAAAGTTTATGGTTCAAATAACATTATAAAAAAATAAAAATAGGGTAAACAAAAAATTATAGAATTATTTTTTAACTATCTAGTTTTTATTCTTGTCATTTTAAAACTAATTTCATAAATTTCAATTAAAAAAATAAAATAAATAATTAAAAGATAAAACAATGGGCAAAGAAATAAGTTAAGAGAAGAAAAGAGAAAAATACAAGAGAATCTCTTCAATCAAATTAAAAAAATCATAAATTTATATTTATATTTATTTTTCTTCTCTGTACTCTTTAACTCTCTCCGTGCTTGATCTCTCCTCTCTCTTATTTCCTCACCCCATTTTTTCGTTTTTTCTTCATATTCTTCCTTTAACCAAAAAAAAGTAAGAGAATATTCCAATAAAGAGAAAAAAAATTATGACACCATGACATTAGAAAGAAACAAAAATACCATAACCTCAAAAAACGCAAAAATCATGAAAAAAACCTTAACTTAAAAAAAAAAAAAAACAACCATGTCCCAAAGGCTCAATTCACCATGCCACATCTCTTCTCTCCTCTTTCCTCACCCCATCCTCTCCATCTTTATCTAAATTCTTCCTTTAACCAAAAAAGAAAGCAAGTGAATATTCCAATGAAGAGAAGAAAATTAGGGAAGAAAAAACAAAAATATATCTTTAAAAACACAAAAATCATAAAAAAAAAAAAAAGGCAATCAGGTTCCAAAGTCTCAATTGAACTTATAAGTTAGCATCTCCTTTTGCCTTAACAGCAAAGCTTTGGATTTATACTAGAGATTGAAACTTTGTTAGGACAAAAGTTACAGGAAAGTCCGAGTGGAATCGAACAGTCTCCTTGCTCTCTAAGAATTGTCAAAGTCATCTTCTATTAGATTCCAATGTCAAAATTATCAAAAAAATTTAAGATGTTACATCAATCATGGGATTGCACATATCTCATGTTCATTGTAAAATGAATTAGTGTTCTGATTAGCTAGTCACCTACCATGATAATTTACCTTTAGAAATACATATATATGATTTCCCACGTCTAGCATTAATTCAATTTTATTTTCAAGCTCCTTGGGCATTGCTTGGTCTAGAAAACTGATGTTGAGTTTTATTGTCCATAATATATATATAAAAAAAAGAATGTAAAGATGGATAATTTTACCTATATTTTTTTGAAAAATAGTATTAAAATTATATAATCAAACTGACTAAATCACATAGTTCAATTTGGATTATTTCACTTTTTTTTGGGTCAAATTATTTCACTTTTTAAGATGTCTTTCTCCAATCCTCGATTTTATCTCATTGTGTTGTGATAGTTGTAATTTTTTAAAAAATTATAAATTGAATGATTATTTTTTATATTTAATGTAATTAATTTTCTAAATTATATTTTATTTTAATTAAATATTTGAAAAAGAGAAAGACAAATCAAGAAAGGGAAAAAAATCATTCTTCTTTGTCTTATTATATTTTTTGCCCAAACATCATTTTTTTTCTTTTTTTTTATAAATATTTCAAATACTTATATATATATATATATAATTTTTCTTAATGGGCGCGAATTTGTGATATAGAATATCCCACATCTTTCATGATCAGCGCGCACAAAACAAAAGAAAGAGGCGGATATGACCCACCGGCAGCGTCGGGCGGCGGGCGTCGCCTCAGCTGCGTGCACAGCACCTCATGCACTGTTATCGACAATGGCCGAATGCTGCCACGTTTCTCTTCTTGACCCGTGATCCTAAAAGCAACACCGAAATCCAAAAAGGCCCGAATCCAATTCACCTTTCGCTTTTCCTACGTGGTCCATGCAGAATGCAATGCATCCTTATCTCAATCCACGTATTGCCTACGTTACTAATAAAATAATAATAATATTCAAAAGCAGCTACTGCTTCCTACTCCTACCCTTTTGACTACTTTTAGACAAATAAAACCACCATGCTCACACGCTCATTCAGCCACTTGTTTACTCTCCACTAAAACTAAAGCATGTGCTGACTAACCGGTCATTATGACATTATTCAAATTGTTTAAATAAAATTAATTAATATTTTTACTTGAATAAATTCAATATTCTGAGTTTTAATCAAAGCTTTAATTAATAAAATATTATAAAAATATTAATATTTAATTCTACAATCGAATTTCAGTACCATCATTTTAAAATGTCATTGTCATTGTCAATCTTAACTCACACTTCTTTAAGGACACGTATGCACTTTTGGACGTCAACTCATTTACTTACAGGCTACTCTTAATAGTATGACATGTGATTAGTGGTCAATCAAAATAAATCATCATATAATATAGCTCTATATTAATTATTAATGCAATTGTTATAAGTTGCCAATACAATTACAGAGTTAATACTATTTTTTAAGTAGAAATATAAATTAAGCACTATTAATTTCTCCAAATAAATTTCTTTGACTCTTTAAACTTAAAAACTAAGCAAATTTACATCTTTGTTTAGATAGATCAAGGAGTCTGGACATTGAAATGAATTAGGTAATGTTCTTAAGAAATAATCTGCTTATTTGTATATTACTTAATAATTGAATTATCCCCAAAAAATCTCACGCGGGTTCAACACAAAAACCACTTGCCACGTACCTCCCACGGTTATTTCACCACTGTCCAGCTCACCGGATTTTCATGTACTCGCCCGCCAAACTCGCGTCCTTATCCATCTCTTTTCTCTTCAGCTTTTCCCTCAACCTATATAAATATAATATATATATATATATATATATATATATATATATATTGCCAGTTCCCCCTACCCATTCTCTCCCATCAGCGTCTCGAAAATCAAATCACAAGACAAAGAAAGAAAGAAAGAAATCTTGGTTCTTCTTGATCGGAAACCAGAATGTACAACGAAAGCTTCAGTTTCTCTTCGCCAACAGAGAGAGTCAAGGAGAAGTTGAAATCCTCAATCTGCTGCTTTCGAACGACGCCGTCTGTAGGAGCCGCCGTGGAGCCGTCGGAGGAGATGAAGGGAAGGACGCCGAGATCGCCTTGCGTAATAAAGGACAAGTGCAAGTACCTCATTGCCCGGATCGGGAAGGGAGGGCGCAAGCACTACAGCTCCTCGTCGGATTTCAGTTACGACCCCATGAGTTACTCGCTGAATTTCGAGGACGAGTCGAGCCGAGCCGACGAGCTTCCCTTTATCAACTTCACTTCGAGGCTTCCCTCCACACCTGAGCGAACGTCAGCCGTCAAATCTTTACAGGCTACGCCGGTGTCTGTCAGGAGGGAAGTCTTGGCGTATAGTTAAGAAAACAAAAGGCGGCGTAAATAATTAAATTAGGTTTGGTTGGTTTCCATTATTAACGGTGACCTTTCCCGGAGGTTGATTAACGTTAGGGTTAATAAATTCTTCCCGGCAAATTAATGTACAGAGCTCTTAAAAAGTAGTCAAATTGTGAGATATCTGAGGTTTTTCTCAAATCCTCCAAAAAAAATGCACGTACTTCTTTTTCTTTTCTCTCATTTTCTTTCCCATTCCTTTCCTTTCTTTTCTTTCCTTTTCTTTTCTTTTGAGTTTGTACCGGAAAAGGTAAATCAATGTTGCCCATTCTTGAATGGGCTGTAATACCAGAATTTGAATTTGAGATATATTTTGGGTTTTTATTGTTTTTACATACCTTTGCACAACCTCTACTAGTACTATTTCTTGTTCTTTGCTTTTTTTAAAAAAAGTGTAATTTACTCAAGTACATAGGTTCTAATATTAGTTATTTAATTCATTTGAAAATAACAACTAGTTAAATTTGGATTATTTTAAGTTAAATTTTGTTGCATTATTATAGATATACTACTTTCGTTTATTTTTTGAAATATTTTAAAATATTTTTCTTTTATTTTTAAACTCTTTTTTTCATATTTTATTTTCGAGATTTTTCAAAATAAAGTCATTTTTTTAAACTTCAATATAAACCTCATCTAATATTCTTACTTTTTTAATATTTCAAATTTATTTTCATGATTTTTTTTAACTTTTTCATTTTAAAAATATTAAATATTTATATTACAAAAAGTTTCAAATTTTAATAGAAAATACATTAAAAACAAAATTTTTGTCTTAATCCTCATAAATATTTAAAAAAACAAACATTTAAAGAAAAGCGGAATATTACATATTATATACATATTTGACCATTTTATGGTGTTTATATATTTGAATTTTCTTTTTCCTCCTAAATTTTTTACATAGTTTTTCTTTTAATTGTTAAAATTAGGCAAATTAAGAGAAATTTGGGGACTTTTTATATTAGAAACATAACAATAATTTACTTGAACCTAACTCTTATATTTATATAGATTTGTATATACTAATTTCTTCGCAAGTTAGGCTTTGGGATTTGGAGATTCACCAACCAAATGTTTTAGCCTTGAGCCAACCTTTTGAAATAACCCACTGCACAAAAAAAAACCAGACAAAACCGTTGGATTGGAACAACATCCAGCGACAAACTCAACTTTGGAAGTGCCGACACCACTAGGGAAAGGACAAAACGTCGTCAAGACAGTTAAAAACCTGGCCCTGCTTTCTACCTTTCAGTCATTTTCCTGGAAGCTGCATTCGGAAATTTGTACGAGCAATTTCCGACCAGTAGGGGAGAATAAGCCACAGGTCGATGGATCTTTCTGAAATTTCCCACCTTACAGTTGGGTTTGGGGACTGACATTTGGAAGCATTCACGATAGAAAGGAAGCTGCAATCTTTAGCTTACAGACAAAGATATGTTGGCCATGTTTCTTGCCAAACCATCTCTTAATGACTGCCATTTAATGACCTTACATTCAATGATTTAAAGGACAATGATAGCAAAGGATCGGGACAATATTCCAATAGTTTTTGGACTCGACACCATGATTATCTTTTAGTCGTGTAAATTAAGGTTGTAATATGGTTTGCTTTGGTTATAAAGTGGTATTTAAGCAAACCGGCTAATTAATTGGTAACCAAAGTTCCTAAAGTGCCAGAGATATTTGTTCGAAGTTTCTTGCAAAGACCAAATTTTAACTGTTTTCTTGCTTCCTAATAAACTAGTGGTAAATGAGGAAATGTCCCGATCAGGTTAAAATTGTACTCATAAATGATTAAGTCGAAATTTCGTGATTACTTAAAGCTTATATGCTAAGATATGATGTTTTTATAAAAAAAGTGATTCGAATTTAACTTTTTAAAATTAAAAATACGTACATATTATGGTTGAGATAAGATTTTGAAAATATAATAAATTTATTACTGTGGCACATGGTCACTGGGCCATCTGAAGCAGCCCTTATTTGGGGCTACCGGCGCTAATTCCTACCGCCCTTAACCCGTCCGTGACGGAATTAGGTTCATGTCCAGCAGAACAGGGAGAGCATTAGTGGCGTTCACGTAGAGAATATTCTACTTATTATTATTGGTATTTAATCTAATTTTATTTGTAGGTAAACATGGACAAATATTAAATGTTTAATGCAATAAATATTTTTGAAGATTTAGAGCCACTTTTGGACCCTTTCTAACGGTCCTGAAGGCAGCTGGAGCCACACAGGCTACCAGTGAGTGGGCTGGAGCTGGAATTGGCCGGCAGATGCTAACGGGAACCAACGACTGCTTCTTTATTCACTGGGCTGTCAAATATTACTTAAATGTGAGTCCAATAACAGACGGCGATCCTCAAAAAGGAGAAGTTCGTGGCATAATCAAGTTAGACTTTGGATTTTCTGATGCCACCGATTTCATCCTTTTTGCTCATTTGCATGCGTAGAATTTGTCCATCTTTAGTTCGTAGTGTTCACCACTTCACATTTTTTATTAAGTCTCCAATTTCTTCTCCTTCAAGGAGAAAATCCAAGGCTTTGGGTGTTTCTGTTTATAGCGTGTGGCATTTGCCGTGGGGTATTCATCTTTGCTTCCAAATCCCAAAGTTTTCCTTCACTTCTCCTTCCTCCTCCCATGGCCACTCCACAGGGGAAACCAGCACATGTTAACGAAACTTGGCCATTAAGAGACGACGACAACGACGAAGACGGCGGTCGAGATTTCGAAGAGACGATCTCATCATCCGGATGTGGTTGCATCCAGGGCCTTTGCTGGTGGCGTCGGAACGGCAATGGAGAAGGGCACGGGTACCTGCTGCACCAACAGGAAGAGGTGAGAGACGGTTGGTTGAAGAGAAAAGCTATGAAAGTCAGGGAAATATCAGAGGTATTGGCAGGGCCGAGGTGGAAGAACTTCATCCGCAGGTTTAGCATGCACGGGATTAACAAGAAAAGAAGGCCGTCGATGCTGTTTCAGTATGATCCTCAGAGCTATGAACTCAATTTTGACGAAGGGATACACAGGGAAGTTGATGCTGGATTTCCTGATTTCTCTGCTAGATTTGCAGCTCCAGCTGGGATACAGAAAGGGGAGATGGGACGTGATAAACCCAGTTTTTGATTGAATTTTTACACCATATCAAAGTGTAAACATTGATCCTGTACATTGTTCATTGTTCTCTGTTCATCTGAATTTTCAATATTCCAGGAACGCTCGATATGTTATTAATTGATGATCAAATATTGGTGGAAATTGCTTTCTTTTTTCTTTTTACTTCCAATGTGATTACTAGATGGATTTAACATTGAATCATAATTCACAAGACTCCCCTCCATAGAATTCTATGGATTTCTTTTTCCTGCTTACAATTAAGCATATTCATCTGAAATTACTACACATTTATTTAATGGCCTACCACCTTGGTTAAACATAAAACCTGATACCTTCCAATCGTGTTTGGTTCAATAATTCGGTTTAGTTCTAACAGAAGTAGAAGAGAATCGATGATTTTGTTCCAATTCAACCTCAATAATGGCAACTCAATAATTCTGCAGACGTAGAGACAAATCAAAATATTTTTGGGACAAGACACAAGTCAAAGTCTAGATTGCGATGAGATTATTACTTAAAAGACTAACCACAACGTATAAACTTTTTTAAACTCTCTTATTATTCGATATGAGATTAAAATATTTTATTTATTTTTTTAAAAAAATGGTTAACGAGGCACGCAATTTCAATAATCCAATATAACTTGTATAGAAGTCAATGTTTTATAAATTTGGGTATTGCCCCGAATCCATACATAGTAATAACCTTCAGAGCTTGTTTGTTGAGCAGAGTCCGAGTGGCCCAAAACTGATCACAACCTGATAAAAAGATAGTGCAGTGTGCTTGCTTAACCGATTCCCCAGTCCAATTCCCAAATACAATTTGGTTCAATTTCACATAAAAGACAAACGAGATTTTACGTGTGATCTCCAAACTACATTAAAAGTAAACCAAAACCAAAGTCAATCATGCACATCCATATCTCAAAAGTCCCACCTACTAGAATAAGGAAATAATGCACCTAAAGTTGAGGACTTTTGACCCTGCAAAGTTATTCTACATATATGCATGAAAAGCTAGGCGTAGACCCGAATTCACACTCTGTATGAGTCTATCATTAAGGCAAATCCAAATCCATTTCTATATCTAAAAAGTAAAGAAGACTACAACAGAGAAAGACCTTCAAGAAAAATCCTCCATCACTATTTGATATCTCACTTGATACCCTTTTCATAGTTTTTACGTCATGTAACGTCACTCATGCCTTGAAGTTTAGGTTTAGAAATTTAACAGGTTTAGTTAAAAGTTAGAAGTTTTCGATTGATAGTATAAGATTGAACGCATAAGGTAAAATACTGAACAGACATGAAGTGACAACAGAAGACTTTTATTAGGAAGGTTTCTAGAAAATGCAATTGCTGGCAAGAGCTAAGGCAATTAAACCTGTGGAAGCATATATATTATCTTGGCTGCAAATTTTTAACTCTACATTACAATGCCAAAGAAAAAGCTATAATGAATAGTATGACTGCAAGGAATTATGCAAAGATTATTATTACACTGTACACTCTCACAAAACCCCTCACTAAGCTTATTCACAGATATGGAAAAGAGACAAAAAGAACGAAGAACCAAAATCATAATTCGCCAATGCAAATGGAATTATCCAATAAAGTTACAGTAATATAATTCCTAAACTTTCTCTAACAATATTTCATGGCGTGCACAGCACCAAACTGCATGCCTCTACGCATACCTGCAAAACGGCACAACCCAGGTTTCCATCAATTCTAACCTCATCCTCTGTGTTAGCCCTTTTCTCATGTTGAAGCAAAATCTATTCCTTTCACTTGAAACCCCCGCAGCAGTTCCATGAAAAGCCTATAATGTTGAAATTTTTCTATGTAGTATGTTGGATTTTTATCATTGAAGTGGATATGTGAAGAGACATCATCTGTGTGATTGTTTCTGGACTGTCTTCCTCCATTTTACATGAATTGATCACCGCTGTTTTCACCTGCATTACTTCTTTTCAAATTAAGGTTGGTGCAAAGATCTCAAAAAGGATAAATTACCTAGATGGCATGCATTATTCACCATACCTTTTGCGTTTGCTCTTCAAGACGGTAGAAGTTGATGGGTTGCTATGCCAGTTCCTCTTCCTCTGATTGATGAACCAATTGTTAATCTGTTTTAATTGTAAACCTGTTTCCTGAACCAATCTCGCCTTATCTTCCTCCTGAAAATTTGTTAAGATCAGTTATTTAAAAGTTGGAGCAAATATCTAGCTGGACGCATTTGATGTGCAAATAGCTCAAGAAACCAATGCATCTTCAAAACTTCAGGTACAAACTTAAGTAGAAAATTTTCTGATATGAAAACAAAATTTCTGTCAACATAACCCAGAAGCTATCAGACCCAAGTCTATTAAAAGATTAGGTGCTTAAAATGTTATGAACAGAGTGCCTTTTGTTTGTTGAATGCAGTTCATGGTAGTGGTGAACTAGAAACTTACAGTAGGGTATGGCCACTTGGAATGTGACTGCCACCAAGCTTTTAAAACTGATGTTGTGTCACCAGGAAGTTTACCTGCCCTTCTCTTGCGCAAAATTTCCTCCCTTATGTCCACAATCTTCTCCTTGTAACCCTGTAAAGAGTGCTCAAGTCGGTAACCTTGATTCTCAAACCATAAAAATCTCTACAAAACAATAATTTCAACAATTACCTGTTTGAGTTCATGCTTCAGTTCTTGCCTCACACGCTCCATCAAAGACCTTTCACTCTCTGTTGGGATCAAAGGCCCAAATCCCATGGAATCTGGACCTTCCAAACTTCCATCAAACAAGTTGGCATCACTGTCCACTTGGTCTTCATCATCATCAGACATTGTTGCACCTGTACCTTCGCCTGGAGAAACTCCTATTTATGTGCCACAGCAGAGATTATGACAGAATCAGCATTCAAGATTAACTTGGGCTATTTTTTCTCTAAATATGAGAGAAGAGGATCTTAGAAATCATATCAATGTACTTAAATCAATATGGAAAGGCAAAATATTTTCAAACAAAAATCAGCATCATCTAATGCGGTTTGTCACAGATTAGAAACCACATAGAACACTGCAAATCATTGGAGTACTGAACCAATATCGGAAGCAATAATTTTATATCAGGAAGGAAATGTCACTAAGAAAATAAAATGAGATATTTTCAAGAACATTACCTGTTAAGCTCTGTAAGGATTGCTCAATTTCCCAACAAGCCATTACTGCTTCCATTGCATGGACCCGAACATGCTGTTGCAATTGTTCTTTAAATGAACATAGCAACAGAACATAATGCGTCTGCATTACCAAGGAACAGAAAAGATTAAAATTTGCTTCTGAAACTTCAACATACAAAGATGCATTGAAATCTATAAGTTATCAGAAAGAGAGGCCAATGTTGAAAACAAGTGTACAATAGATATTCTCTTTGCTAATCATGAGAAATTCAAAGGCATTAATCATTTATGAAACCAAGCATTGTGTCACCAAATGCTGATGACTCTTTGCAAAGCTATTTGTATCCGTGCTCTTGCATCTGTTCAGAATAGAGTGAGGAAGATTCCATCACTATCAAACACGTGAGAATGACATAACACTTGAATTTTTGAATGCAATATGCTACCTCATTAATCTCTGAAGTATTTTTCTTCAAAAAAGAATGGTAAAGGTGGGAACTCCTTATCCTTGTGATACTAGGAAAGTGAAGATAGAGAAGGATGCGTGGAGAAATAGCATAAGTTCTTGACATTGTTGAGATTGGAACTTCCCATTACTTGACATGAAAAATGTCCAATCCAATTCACCAAAAGGAAAAGGAAGAAACGACCTATTCACTTATTTTGGTTCACAAATACCAGCTCACCCCTCTCTTAGCTTATCAGGTTTAGACATTAATGCTATTTTTCTCGTGCTAAATCTTATGGCTGCCAAACTAATTCTAACCATTCAGTCTGCCCAACCGTTTCTAATCAAAGCTGTCACAGCATCAGCACTCGGTTTCTTCATCATAAATTTTCTTTTCCTCTGAAACATGAGCAAATCACCTCTGAGACTGCCAAGGAACCCTTTCCAGATTTGGCTCTGATTGAATTGTAAACATAAGGTTTCAACGTTTTCTTTGCTACCAATCAACTCATCATATCTAACAAAAAACAAATGTACTACCAAACTTTTTTCCTTCTTTCTCTTTATCTGAAAAACAATTGTCGGTGCACCCCACTCCCCTGAATTAATCACCAATGTTTAAAAAGATTAATCAGCATTAACCTCAACAAAACTGCTAGCAATTAAAACCAGTTTCCTTCCCAGTCTAATCCAGAAGTTTGAAGAACCCCAAGGACAGAAAGTTTTAAAGGCTTTGGTTTAGGATTTCAGATAGCTTTAAATAGAAACAATCACGGAGCACACAGAGAAGCAGTGAATTCTTCTCATTTCTCCGGGTATGGAGTTACCAAATTGCCACTCAAGGCTAATCAGATGAATGATTTCAAAGAAAGAAGAGAATCAGTAGAGGAAATAAGTTGTAACAGACTAACAGTGGGAGTAGTAGCATACCATGAACTGATCAAGCTCTTTGTCATCACCAACCAGGCCCTGGGCCCCTCCACCGAGAGCCGAGTACTTCGCCACCACATGCTGTGACTGAGCTAGCTGAGCATCGATCCTCGGAAGCTGGTCGACTGGCGTAGCGATCCTTAGACACGCCACGTGTGCAGATAACAGTTGCTCGTACAAAGGGTGAGCTAGTATCTCCGCCTTGTGTCTCGCATTCTGCCAATTCACAACTCCATCTCCAGCACCACTTCCACCTCCCCCACTTTCTACTACAACACCTTCGCTCTTGTTGTTATTATTCATAGTCTCGCTGTTACTGTTCTTCAAATCTCCCGATTCCACGGCGATCATGGAGTCCCCGCCTCCTCCTGCTGCTGCTGCCGCTGCGGCTGCCACGTCGTCGATGACGTCACTGTGGTTGCGGTGAAGAATCGAGGAAGACGAACGGGAAAGCCACTGGTTGGGACCCTGAGAAGCCGCGGTGGAGTCAGAAGCAGTCGTGGTAGTATGAAGGTTAAGGAAGTTAGGGTCGGAGAAGTGAGTGTGCGGTTGCGGTGGTTGAGGCTGCTGTGAACGGAGGAGAGCGCTGTTTAACCAATTGGGTGCGGTGGTTTCCGGTAGTTGTTGGGTTTGTTGCTGTTGGTTCGTTTGTTGCTGTTGTTGTTGGTCGGTAAAGTGATGTAGAGGGAGGTCTTGAGAAAGGTGGTTGTGGTGAAACGCCATGTGCCCCCCCTTCTCACTTTTCTTTTTCTGTAAAACGTATTCGAAAGAGAGATATTATGATGATGATGATGATGATGATGAAGACGATGATGACAATTATGAATTCATGGCTTGATAGAGAGAGAAAGAGAAAGCGAAAGAAACAATGGAAAAGACTGATTCTTTTCTTTCTTCTTTTACAGTATCAAGTTATAGACACAACTGGGATTGTATTCTTCGTGTTTCAGAGAGAAAACAACAGTGCAAGAGAGCAAACAAAGCTAAGGGCTTTAAGGATATATGGTGTAAGAGAAAGAGAGAGACAGAGATATATGATTACGAGTACTGTAGCAAACGTGCGAATAGAGAAAGGGAAAGAGAGAGAAGAAGAAGAAGAAGGAGAAAGACAGAACCAAAGACAGAAGAGAGGGGAGGAAGAGAGGGAAGCGGTTTTGAAAAGGCGGTTTTCAGGTGAAGAAATCTGCTTGTTATGAAAATGCTGGAGGTTTATGGCAGGGTGCGGGGTTGGGAAGGGTGGGGGACCATTTCATTTTTCTTTTTTATTTTATTTATTATTATTTCTAATTGTTATTATCTCATTATCATTTTGCTACAGTTTCCCTATGTGATTATGTTGTACGACAAAAACTAGTTTTTCTTACAAGACATCATGCCATGATGTCGATAAAAATTTAAAAAATAATAATAATTTTATATACGAAAACATATTTATCCTTTTACATCCCAAAAATAATTTTATTATTCTTCCCGAAATATTTTATTTTAAATAATTAAAACTTTTATATTAATTTTTATTAAAAATTAAATATTTAGATACGGAATGTTTTAGTAGTCATAATTATCTTTTATTTTCAAACAATTTAGAAAATTATTTTGACTTTTTGTGCAAAGAATCAAATGTTTACATGATTGAAAACCGTTCCCAATTGCGATGATAATCATTTTTTATTACTACTAATATTTATTTATTTATTTCTTTTTTTTCTAATCCGAAAAGACTAGTAGGGTGGGAGGAAGTACCCAAGAGCTTCTAACGAAAACCTGCGTGGACCTTCCTGGGTCAGAGGCTTGGCCGATGGAAGGCGTTGATCGATTTTGATCAGACGGTTTCTGAACTGTCAACGTGGCAATCCTGGGAGTGGGGATCAGGGTTTTATTTTAACTTCGTTTTTTTTTGGTTAAATTGGAACGTAAAGTGCGGGTTTGCATTCAGACCAAACCGAAGCTGATATGTAGATCAGTGACAGAGGCCCGGGTTGCCGTACGGCCGAAGCTGCTCCGGTCTTTCCTAAACTGTTGCAACAATCGTATTTTATGTTCCTGGATTACTGTTTTTTTTCCTCCTACAGTTTCTTCAAAAAATGCAATAAATGTGAATCGATTCTGGCCATGGATTCAATTTTAAATTATGGAAGATTAAATTCATTAGAATTTTTATTAAAAATAATAAAAATTAAATTATATTGATCAATTCAATATTTTTAATAAATTGATGATGAAAATTATCTTATGTGTTAATTAATGAATTAAATATTTAAATTTATAATAATTTAATTTTTACTGCTAATGAAGAGAAAGCTAGAAAAGTTTGCAGAGCCGCAATAGCAAAATAGGGTTGGAAACAATTGGAAAACAGTGTGTTCCAAAGAACTGTTCACCATTGATGAACAATTTTCAAATCTGCTTGCCAATAAATACTTTGTTGGTTATTAAATGGAAATCAACATTAACTGTTAATAAGTTATGAATAGAACTGAAATACGAAAATATAGACATTACGCATAATCATATATAAATACTATATGAATCTATATTTCATGATCGAGACTTAACAAGAAAATAATGGTAATGGTAAACATTTTATTATTCAACTAAATAATTGTACACATCTTTTGTTTATATCGAGTTTTCGATAATAATTACAATTAATTAATTTTTTAAAGAAAAAATCTAAACGCAATTTACAGGGAATGGTGCATGATTAAATCTCGAATAACCCAAAAGCCAGGGGAAAAAATAGAAAAACTTTAGCGAAAGTACTGGTAGTAGGATTTTCAGAAATCTAAAGTTGGTTAGATTGGACTGTCATTTTTTAGTACTGGTAAAAGAAGAACATTAGCGGAGCCTACCATGCATGTAAAAAGTGCTTACAGCAACAAACTACATCATCGTATCTAGAAAAGTGTAGGCGCAGTTGGTCCGTGGTAAGTAATTTTGTATAGTAAGCAGCTGTATCCCTTAAAACTGGGAGCGTGCATTCCACGTCACGAGCACTGTCGACTGACGAGATTAGCAGTTGGTTAAAAAGTAAAAAATCCGACCACTAACGACAAGGCGACCGGGGCCGAACGTCTTGTAGTGGAAGTTTTTCAGTTCCGTACGGTTTTAAATGACAGTTAGGGGCGGTAGGCGATGAGCGACCACCGATTTCTCCGAAGATGATGAGGCAGTGGAGGAGAAGGAGGAGGAGGAGGTGGCGAAAGACAGACATCGCGCGAAAACGAAAGAACAGAGGAGGGGGAAGCACCGGGGGGCGGGGACCATAAATTACGTCGCTTCTCTCTCCGCCACTTGCGGGACAACGACTGGGGGGACACGCGTCGAGAGGAGGGGTCCTTGGACCACCCGGTGGTCCCCAGATCGAAGCACGCGCCAGATAGAAATCGTATCATAGCCGTACACGTGGATTGATGAGGGATATCGGTAAGCGGGGACCACCAAGAATTTTGACCTCTCTGACAGCCGCCGGCTTAATCAATGCAAACTGTTTCTGGTCCCCTCAACGAAGATGCGGGGCCCCAATGCCCTCATATAAAAAAATAAAATAAAAGAGAAGAGGAGCGGGGGCCCACAAAGGGTAAGTGGGGCCCGCGAAGGGGAAGGTACTGTTTGGTTTTTATGGCAAACTGTCCAGCTTTAAGGAAAGGATGGTCCCCTACCAACTTGTTTTCTCTGTCTTAAAATAATAATAATAGAAGAAAATTTTTCATTTATTTTTGCTGTTTCATTTTTGTAGGTGGTGATGACCTGTCGTCAGGCAGACGGCAGAGGCATAGAAAGGTGAAAAGGAAGGGAGCGGCTTACGTAATTTCTTAGGAAATGTCTGATTGTCTGCCTCTCTCAGCCTTGCTCCCCCAATTTACGTTGCTTTGTGGTCCTTTAGTACCAACTTTCATACATGTACGTCCTCTTTTAAATACCTACATTTTACATATATTTATAAATTTATTACAATAATTTTACCTGATACTGTTTTTTTATATTATGAATTTATTTTTTATATTAAAATTATTAAATAATTTAATTTTTAATATAAAATATATTTAAATTAACATTTTTATCTTAATTTTTATAAAAATAAAAAAAATATTATAAACAGATGAAGTGTATATGATTTTTCTATTTGAAGCGGAAATTTCTCCCTAAGTATACATTAACTGACATGCTATTTGAATATCACACTATTAATTAATTTAAATTCCTTCGACCCATTTAATTATTATTTGTTTTCACAACTAATTGAAGTAGTGAGAAAATTAAAAATTTTACTAACATATTGAAAGCATCAAAACACACTCGTGAATTTATATAATAAATTGATAATTTATCTATAAACATCTAGATGATTTTTATATATTTTTAATATTTGTCTATTTGCACAAAAAAATAAAATAAATTAAATTCAAGGCATGTTTATCATATGAACATTATGGAAATAGTTATGATAGTTATTGACATTTACACAACGCACGATTGAACAATTTCATAGTTGATACAACAATTGCTACTTGTACTTGTATTTGTCAGTTTTACTTGCTTTATTTATTTAATTTTTTATTTTTTATTTAAAATAAATTAAATGGAGGAAATGATGGGCTGAAAAATAATGTAAATATAAACGGTATAAAGCCATTAACATTATCCCAACATGTGTTCACATTTATTTTTCTTTTCTTTTTTATGATGATTTTTTTTTTCGGCGGACATTATAGGTGAAAATTTTTAGCATTTAAAATGCTGGGTGGGTAGGTGGAGCCAAAAACATGTTCAAATACGAATTAATTCCTTAAAAAAATATTTTTCTCTGTTACAATTGTTATGTGAAAATTAATTTTTATAAAAACGGGACGAGTTCTCTAGAGTTGTGCTAGTTAACAATCATTTTCAAGATTAAATATTCTCATATATAGTTAATTAATTATAGATTAACAGAAGTTTTTTTTTTTTTTTTTGCAAATTAACGACTTAGACATCTAAACACATAGAAATTCAATATTCCTTGAAAGACCCAAAAAAAAAAAATTACATACATTCCAAAGATGTCTCTAGATAATTGTTTATGTAGAGGGCAACTTCACTTTATGAGACATAAATTTTTAATTTTTTTTTATTAAAAAGACACAAGACAATACTCTTATTAATTTTTAGTTTAAAACATGACACTTAGATATGCTCCAATGATTCAAGCAACGAGGCATCTTATAGGGACTTTGTTGATTCTCGAAACAGATTCCACGAAGTTAGATTCTTATAGTTGATTAAATTCAGTTAATTTGATTTTGTTTTTTTATTTTATAATAATTGGTTAAGAAAAATTATTTATTCATCATTTCAAATTTTGATTACTTTTTTGTGTTTAAAATTTAGACTTGAATCGATGGATAACCTGTTATTTAGAATGTATTTTTTAAATACATATTTTGATATAAAAATTTTTTATTTTTAAAGCTTAATATCAAATTGTTCGCCTTTAATTATTAAGGTGAAAATCGAGGGGCAAAGAGAGGAATAAAGTAAACAGGTGGATGATGATGATGAAAAATTAGAGGGCGGACATGCGTTGGTTAATTATTTAGAAAGGGCGGGGTGCGTGGCTGCGGATCATCCTGGCAAGCGGGCACAGTGCCGTGGGGGGTGATCTGGACACTGTCCGATACATTGGGATTGGAAGTTAAACGTCTCTTTTCATCTGTCAAATTGTCTCTGTTTTCTGTCCACGCATGCTTCTTATTTTCCACGTCGGCTTCCAAACCTTTTGAGTTTGTTTTGTTTGCTTTCCAACGACCCAAATCTTGGTTTCCTCCAGGCTCCGATACTGTTCATGTTGAAAGTTAAGACTCCCCCTCACGTGTTGTTTGCTTCACGCTCACCCGACGTGACCAACAACTAATTTCCTTTTTTTTCTTAATTAAAAGTTTTATTAACCAATGATTACTATAAAATATACGAGAAAAGTATATTTAAATTCATATCATATTGTATCACGTTTAAAATTATCTAAATTTTTTAATCACAGTATTTTCATTATGTTCCATCACAATTTTTATGCTTAATTAATCAAATTAAAATTTATAAAATTTGAATCTTAATTAAGTGAATTATTCATTTATTTTATCATTATAGTGTAAAATAAGAATTTTAATACATTGAGAATCACATTCAATATTGAAATCATTATTTTTATAATATAATTCATGT